CTACTTGAGGAACTGCAAGATTCTGTAGAGCATAGTTTTGAAACTGCTATAGTGCTAAATGGATTGGGAAGAAAATACTGAATAGTGGGCAAGTAGGGATCTGGAAGATGATTACTGCCTGCTTTAAGGTAGTAGCTAATGGAATACAGCAAGTAACTTGGATAAGACAAACTCATTATTTCCCATATAAGAGCATTAGTGCTACATGAACCTGCTCCATGTCATTTTTCTAACGTTAAAGATCATTCACATTCGCAATCAAGTACTTCGCATTTTCACTGTGGATATGAAGAACACTTGCAAGAAGAAAGTTTCAAGGTTATATTGTGTTACTTTTATTCACCAGATAAAGAACACAGTACACATTTCTTTCTCTTAGAACAAAATAAATATTATATCCCATTTTAACATACATTGCAATGCCTCCAGCCTCATAGGAACTGCAGTTGAAGACAAATCAGTCTGTACCAGCTATATGAATTTAACTGGAAAATAAAGCATCAATATGAACTTAATATACCTTTTAACAATTCAAAAGGCTCAGTGTGTACATACAATTCAAGCAAAAAATTAAATATGCTGCATACTACATAACAATACATACTGAACCCAAAGAAATGAAATTGCAGATTTGCAAAAAATAATTTTTCAGGACAGGCACATGTTTTTTTAATAAAAACTACCTGTTCTTTAGTAACACTGCTTAATCAGCAGCAAGATATTTACCTTCTTGAAAAACTGCATTTTTACGTATTTATCTGTGGATCTATATCACCATTTGAACAAAATGGTAAATGGTTCTACACCAAATGAATATAAGGGGTAAAATTTGGCAATGAAATCACAAGAAACTCTGCACCTGTATCTAACTCAATGTGCTAGGTGTATTCATCCAGAACAAACTTACTTTTTTGTTAGTTTCTAAGAGTAAAATAAATTAAAGCTTCACTGCCCACAAACAAGTGACACAGTAGTTTTCCCTACTTGCTCTTAAAGGCAGTAATTAAATATTTGAAAATGACTGTCTCTTGGGTTGCTGCACCATACAGACTGGTAGAAATAAGCCAAGCACAGCTTACTCATTACCCTGATGATGGAGACAGCAAGCACCTCTGAAACATCAACAAATTCTAACATACTACATGGTGTAACAACCAGAAGACTGCCATCTTCATAACTGCTACAATGAGAACCTGAAATCGCAATGAAATACATGAAAGGTTAAATATGTACCAAATATATTTCACAATTTGTTCATTTTAACTTCTGCAACAAAAATTTAAAGTAACTCATAAAACAAAAGTTATTTAACCCCTGCAATGTCAATGAAAGTACTTATTTCACGATGTGTACTGTCTCCAATGAGTTAG